GCCTAATTCATTTATTATGACATGAGCAATTAGGACACCAAACAAACGCCTGTATAAAATTATTTAATACTTTAACCCGCGACATTTCGGTGTCGCCATATTTGCACCAAAATTTAATAATTAAGTAGAGGATCGTTTAAATTTACAACGAACCTTTGCAAACGATACATACTCTGCCTACTTTTCAACTTCCGGTCCACCGAGAAAAAATAAGGCATCTCTGATTGCGGTTTGGTCCCGACGATGAGTCCGAATGGGCCGATCACTCGGCTTCGGCGGGCTGGCGAGCGCCCTCGGGATCGGGCCGGTCGCTGTGCTGCTCCGGGCCGGCCGGCGTCGAGGACGGCGCGCTGGTGGGCTGGGCCCCGGGGGCGGCGGCCGGCCGGCCCACGGCGAGGTGCCGCAGTCCCTCCCGGAACTCGCGGGACATGCTGCGAGCCGTCAGGCTGTGCACCTGTGGGGCGGGAGAGAGGGCAGAACGGGGCGGTCAGTGATCACGCCCGGCGACCTAAACGCAACGCTCCTCCACGGCGCCTGCGGACGGGGGATAGGCAACCCCGCCGAGCACGCGCGAGCGACGGGACTGCCTATGCACAGGCGCTCCGGTCTGCCCGGTCCGGAGCAAAACAACTCTTGGAAGTAGGATCATGTTAGAAAACAAGGTAAACAAAGTCGGACAAGTGTTATGTATTGGGTATATTAACCCAACCGACCGGCACCATACCGGTTACTTCCACTTACCTATTATATTGAATGACTATTGTTATTTGTAAAATGCGACGTAAATAGGAATGAAGACGGAATTTAGAAATAAAAAAAATGTAAAAAGTAGTTAAACGTGGATGCAAGTGGAGTGCATCACTTTTTTTTGTAGAAAGGTTCCGAGGGTTATTTGGGAGTTTTCCCTAGGTGGGCAGGCAATTGGGAAAAGGTACTGGGGTCAGGAAAAGTGGGTGTCGATGGGATGATGGGTGAGGACCCGAGTGTGAGCGGGTGCGGTGCGACAGCGGGTGCTTCGTGCGAACGCGACGGTACACCAGGTGCCACGGCAAGGGTACCGCGAAAGGTACCACGACAGGTGCCACCCACCCAACGGCGCATCACACTCGCCAGCGCACTCGCACACACTCACTCACCCGCTCCCTCACCCAACCAAGGGGGGACGGCAGGGACGCTAGGAGGCGAAGAGGGCCAGGTACCTCCTCAGGTACCAACCACCGCGCCAGGCGGCGAGCGGAACCAGACGCACCTGCCGGACGGCCTTCTTGTCGTGCTTGTTTACAATATCCGCGCTGACGGGGGCCTCCGGGGATTCGTTCTTGCCGACGATGACGACCTTGGATGCGTCGGTGGACTTGGTCCGGGACTGGGGAGGAGAGAGAACATCACATTTTGGGCCAGGCGACTCATAGTTGATTCAAACAGGTACGCGCGTTTTGGCGAACGAATCCTTACCGGCTGTGGCGCCGGCTGTTCTGGAGGCTGGGACAGGAACTGCTTGGCCAGCTCGCGGACGGAGGGCGTCGGCACTGGGGAGGAGTCCTCTGACCCGCCGTCGCCGTTGGTGCGCACGGCAGACGACCAGGGAGCGATCGGCGTCTCCTGAAGAAAGGCGGAGTTTAAGGCCGACCTCTGGGTCAGAAAAATCACAAACTTCTGATGAGCCGCGTTTTGCCGCTACTCACCAGGTGTCCGATCCGCCGGTCGGCCACTGACGTGGAGTGCGCGCGCCGGAGCCCGGAGCCGGAGTTGATGTAGAAATCCCGCCCGTACCTGCGTCACGATTTCAAAGGGTCAGCATACCGCACAGAGGGGGGCAATAACTTTGCTGACCCACTACATCAGGCGGACTTACTTCTTGGGGTCGGGGTCCACCCTGAGGGCGATGTGGAGGGAGCTGTCGTCGGGGGGCGGCAGGCTGTCGGCGGCGGGCGTGGGCGACAGCGCCGGGGGCAGCAGCGGCTGGCCGGTGAGGCTGGCCCGCTGCTTGAGCCGCCTCTCGATGTTCTCCGGCGAGTAAGGGTTGTTCGGCAGCGGGGTGGCCTCCAGCCACTTGCGGTGCTCTCGTTCCGCGATGGTCCCTGCACAGTCAACATGAGGTCGGTTATTGGCTTCTAAAGGCTTTCACGCCGCTGTCGTTTTCTCACTCGGTCAGCATTTTAAAAAGAGAACGAGTTGTGCAGATGACTTCTTTCAAAGACAAAATTATAGAGGTCATGCAATCGCAAGTACAATATTATCGATTCGGGATTTACCTGGCCGAGGAGGAGTGAACAGGTCCTCGTTATCCAGGACTTCCGGAGGCGGACTCATCCTCCCGTTAACCTGACGCTCCCCTTCCACCTGCTGGTGCTGCAGCGGCTTCTCTTCTGCCCCATCTGGCCTCTCTGCCAGCGTCGCAGCTGTGGCTTTGGGGGCAGCCGACACGGGCTCGACCCTCGTGGCCTCCACCGCTGACTTCTCGACCTCTGCAACCGCGGCAACGGAGCGCTGAGCTCTGCTATCAACGGCGAGTTTCTGCTTGGGGACGGCGCGGTGCATGGCGGGCACCTCCTTCTTGGGAATCTCCTTGACGGGGACGTCCTTGGCGGGGGCCTCCCTCCGAGTTGGCGTGTCGTACAGGATGGTCATCTCGGCGTCCTGGTCGCGCGCCCATCGTTCGGCCATGTCGTTGGGTGACTGTCGTCCCTTAGAGACCGGTGACGTTGCCGCCGACCTGATCAACGGTGACAGTCGGTCCGGAGACGAAGCAGGCCCCTCCAGGTTGGCAGCTAAGTGTAAAAGAACGGGATTATTTCAAACATACTATTGATCGTTTAAATTCCAATATTTTTGTTTGATTGGAAAATACGCACTTCTGTTGGTACGTGCAGCTCTGGGAGCAGGGGCGGTGGACAGAGCGGGGGCGGCCCTCCTGAGCAGCTCCAGGTTGCACGTCTCCGCCAGGCCGTCCAGGAGGGGGCGGCCCGCGGCCTCGGACACGCTCAGGTCCTCGGAGAACTGGTCGGACTCGGCCTTGGGCTTCATGCCGGCCAGGACGACCTCCTCCAGCGCGTCGTCGCTGCACTCGGACAGGTCCGAGGTCTCCTCGGCGTCCACGTCACCGATGAGCGCCCGGAAGTCCTCGCTGGGATTGGGCACCAGCATTGGCACGGGCACCGGGTGGTGTGCGTACTGCGCGGCCGGCTTGCGGATACGCTTGCTCTGGAACAGCCAGTTGTCCTCCCAGGACTGCATGGGCGTCACCAGCTCCAGGCAGCTGGCCGGCCGGTCCTCGTCGACAGCATCCTCGGCCTGCTCCGCCCCGTCCGGCGGCGACGCCCGGCGACCCTCCGCATCGTAGCCTCCGTCCAGGCCGTTGACCGGGCGCTGGGCCTCTGCCGAGTCGGAGAGCTCCGACTCCCCAGAGGACCAATCCACTGCAGGACAAGGAACATGAATTTAGTTTTGAATCGCTTCTGTCACCTCGACGACACGTAATTTCGGCGCCTGGAGTATCAACATAGACAATCAAGACGGGAACATTGGGATTTAAAACAAAGATGTCAGCCCGGTAACTCACCGTCCACGATGTCGACGCCAAGCTCGGGGAAGGGCACGCGCTGCTTGAGCAGGGACAGGCCGGCGATGAGGGACGGCGGCCCGGAGGGCGGCAGCGGTAGCGAGGCACTGCTGCTGCTGCCGCGCCGCCGCGCGCTCCGTCGCCGCCGCCGCCTCCGCACGAGGGGCACATCGCGCGGCAGCTCCTCGCCCTCGGAGCGCTCGTCCAGCGAGGAGGACGACGCCGAGGACGAGGACGTGCCCGTGATGGTGGTCACCTCCTCGATGCACTCCTCGATCTGCGGGTGGAACAAAACGCAACGCGCTGTCAACAACGGGAGTCGTAAAAGGAAAGCCTTCCGAAGAAGAAAACGGAGAGGGGGGAGGGGGGCAGCAGCTAGGAAAATGACCCTCTAGGCCCAGTGCTGCGCGCCGGTGCGCTCGCCCGCCCGGACACCTTCCTGCCAACGGCCAGGCTGGTAACGACCTTCGCAAACAACCAAACGGGAAGCAATCGACCGGCAAGAAACAACAAAAAGAAAAGTTTAATTAACATTTTTTTGCCTCGCGCAGCAGAGGAGAGTAGCGCTTGTCGGTCGGATCCAAATAGGCGAACCGTTCTGCAGGTGGCGTCCTAGTGCCCTCCCTCCCTGCCCGGAGCTGCCGCTGCCGCATCAGGTAAAGAACGGTGCCCGGAGGGGTAAAGTGGCTAAGGGATTTCGAGCTGCCACGGTTGGGCCCGCGTCGTGCCTTGCCACGCCGCGCCGCCAGAAGGGCCCACCAGGGCCCACCAGGGCCCACCAGGCCAAAGACTCACCAATAGCGGACGGCAGGGGCCCGAGAATTTGTTCCGGTCCATAACGGTCGCGGAATGGCAAGAACTCGCCTCTACTCCTCGTCGGGGTGGCTGCCCGGGCGCGGGCCATTTTGCGTAACGACAAGAAGCCACGCCGAGGCAGCACCACGGAGTTTCACCGGCGAGCTTCCCCGGGCCGGGCCCGGGCGTGCGCGTGCCAGTGGCGGGGCAGACCGGAGGCGAAGCAAGCGCGTGATCGCAGAGCTGCTGCTCACCATGAGTGACAGCGGGTCCGAGTCCAGGTCGCCGTCCACGGAGTGGTCCAGGAGGCTGGAGCCGGTCCAGGACCCGTTGTACGAAGATGTGCCGCTCTCGGGGGAGTCCTCCACGGACCCGAGCCGCACCTCGAGAGAGCCTGCAGAGCCACGCAAAATATACAAGTGAAAAATACAAAAATCTGCGCGCCACTGACGCCCACGCAGTATTTGCAAGTGCGTGCGTGCAAAACTTTGTCACCAGGTAGCAAATATTTGTAATTTGTTATAAAAAATTGTAACAACAATGTGTAACTAAAGTTTGTCATCTGGTTACTGAAAAAACTTCATGTCGATGTTACAAAATATTGTATCGATCATTATTTTTACAGTGCGAGCATACTCACTGACGAAATTGTTGTTGTTATTGTTGGTATTCCTCTTGTTGTTGTTGTTGTTCCGGAGCGTCGACCGCTCCATCACCTGCAACACCACACGGCTCCATGAGGACGCCGGCCGAGGTCTGCGCGGCGCGCGTCGGGAGGGAGTCACGGCGCGGCGCCGACTGTCGCCGCACGACCAGGACCCCGCCTGCCCCGGCCCCGGGCCTCGCCCATAGCGCCGCGGTAGGGCTTCGCCCAATCCCCCTCGGCCTCGGCTCAACGGGTCCGGGGCGGATCCGGCG